TACGTCATAATTTACTTAACTACCGTCTTTTCCACCGCAACAAATAGTTGTTTGTCTATTTATCTCTCTCAATACCCTTTTTTTGTCAGTTAGATAAGACTTTAGGTTGGCAGCGTTTGACGTCACACCAAAAGGTAATTTTGAGAAAAAAAAAACCTCTTTTATGCATTATTCAACATTTCAAGTCCGATAATTCCTTTTACATCGAACAAATTTACCTGATTGGTTTTGTAACACTTTCATCTACGGCATACACATAACTGTAACCAGCACGGGGTACCCCACTCGAGGTACCCACACGAGATACTGCACGGGGTACCGCACGGGAAATTGATTCTAAATTAGAAAACGAAAACGTTCAAATGTTGATACAAAATTACACGAAAAGTGTCAATTTATTGACACAACTTAAGCTCATACTAGTTAAAGTCCCGAATCGAAAATTAAGTTCGAGGATTAAATTTCCTTTGATTTTAACAATTATTAACTGTTGTTTTCTTTAATAATTGTTGGTACCATTATTTGGACATTAGTAAAAAATACATCACGTAAAGAGTGATTAAGCGCGCGAATAATTAATTTAATAATTTAAATAGACCATCCAAAGCATAATTGTACAACAGCTCTAGCGGTCCACCGTAGCTGTGTCAATAAAGGACCATTAAATCAAAGCATAATTGTACAGCTACCGAAATAAAAGCAATGCAATAGTATTGATAACGTTCCCTGCTTCGGTTAGTAAATGCGCCTACGCAAAAAATAATGTCGCTTTCCAACTCAAATGCATACCAACATCTTGGAAGACCAAACCACAATTTTATATTGTATTTTTGAAACATAAATGCAAACATCTTCAAACTGCAACTCGGTTATAATCTTTATCAATACAAGTAATTGGACTAAATATTTTTCATAGTTGTACATAATATTACGTATAATGAACTAGCCCGAATAACTACCGCTTTATTAAAACATCATACAGTTTGTGGTCTACAACGCTCTTATTATAGTATAATGTAATAATAAAGTGATATCCACACACACCAACACATATCCAGCCAGTCTGTAATTGTCGACTTTGACAACTCAGTAACATGTAATAAGCTATTATATTGTTCTGTATAACTTAGCATCCATAATTCTATTTTGAAGCAGTATAGCAGTATGAACAGATTTCTGCCTTTAACACAAACCTCACTCCAGCAAAAGTTTTGGGAAAAATCTGATTGATACAACGTTCTATACCATATCATGTCACATGTGCAAGTTAATTAGTCAGACGTTTTTATTTACCATTAATATTAAGCAATTTATAACATTAAATTTCACTTACCTTTAAGCATTTTAAGACCACACATGATAAAATGAAATACTATCAATTTTATTGCTTATTCACGAAAGAATACGGTCTTCAAAATAAGTTTAGGGTTCAAGTATTGTTGCCTCAAGCGAATATTCTTGGACAGCGGCGCAACAAGTTTTTTTAAAAACACGTATGTAATTTCGTTGTTGCACTCACTATCTTGCACTTATAGCCACGGTCAAACGTAGTAATTTGAGCAGTGTAAAGGTTCTACATAAAAAATTAGTAAACGTTAAGTTATTATGAAAAAGTGCACTTAACAATGTAATCTCATCGATTATGTAATCGATTAACCGTGTCGTTAAGAGTTAATTTGATGAGGTAGAAAGTTGTCAATACCCAGCGGCAACCGGTCAGTGTTATATTTAAGAACAACTACTTTATTTGCTTTACAGAAAATGAAACTAATTAAATTGAGTTACTTTTCTATCTATAGCAAAATATTTCAACAAGCCTGCTACGATCTCAACAGAGAGTCTTGTAAAATGGTAACTATGAGATTTACTACACCGATAGAGTAAACCAATCAAACTTGTCAGGTGTAAATTTGTCCTTCGAGAGTGCAAGCCCTGACGGGCCGACTATGGTTGGCGGCAGCGGAACAGATAATATTGGGCCTTATTCTATTCAGGGTACCTATGATAAGTCATCAAAAGTTATTACCTTTACCAAGCAGTACATCGGAGTCAATGCCAACACGGCCTGGCGCTACAAAGGCGTATATAATGACGAACTGTTCTCTGGAACGTGGGACACTGATGCCGCGCCAAATATGGGCAATTTCTTGATTAAGCGGGTTGCTACTATTGAAAGGCAATCGGATGAGGGAAGTTGGCAAGGATATTACTTCGATGTCAATAACAAAGGCGTCCAGATGCTAATCTACCTGACGGTATGGATAGATATGCATGGCGTCGAAGTTGTCAATGGCTCTGGTACGGATGCAGTTGGTTCGTTTACCCTTGATGGACACATCCAGCGTGACAATTCGGTCAGTTTTACCAAGACATATAAGGATCATAAATTGAACTATAACGGATGGAAGAGTGGAAACGCGATATTTGGAACCTGGAGCGCCGGAGTACCCAGTGGTGGTGATTTTGTGATTTGGAAACATTAGTCTACCGATATTATATGTATACGTAAATGTACAGTATGAGTATGATTATTTATTATAAATAAATCTATCTTTAAGTAACGAACAATTATCAAACAATGATGCCTTTCTATTAAAAATTTTCCAAACGTTAACAGTCAACATTGCTAGCTAGCATACAATCCCGCATATTTACTCTCGATAATAAACTGTTGCCTCGATATGATTTTTTCCCCTGGAACCATTAAATAATGCTTTATAGTATAGGATGATTAAGTAAAGTGTGTACGAAAAACCCGCAACCTTCTCCGTTAAATCGAGAGATTCGCTAAATCGAGTTTTTCACGATATACTGGATATCATAACAAGTAAGTACTCGCAATTTTATTGGGGCAATCTTCAATTAATATTAGTTTAAAATTATGAAAATTTTAGTCTATTCTATTTCAGTTCAGCTTGAGTTATCATGTTTAATTTTACACAATTCCTTTTTTTGTACACCTGATAAAGTTAAATTTTTTGGCAAGTTAGGTTAGACATTTTGGATTCATGGTAACAAAGCGTCTTTGTTATTGGTATGTGCAACAATAGAGACTCAATGAGTTAATTAAACATGTTAATATTAGGGGTAGCTAAAGCGAGGCCGATATTCATCCTTTTCTGATTGAGTTATAATATTCTATAGTATTATGGTTAATGTCAGATGGATAATTTGACTGTTGTTATAGTATATGCACTAGAAATTATTTAAGGTTTGGATTAGTATTAATATTAACAAATTATCGGAAATTTATAATAATAAGTTTGATTGAATAAAAGGAAGAAAAATTATTATTATATGAAAAAATTAGGTCACCGACAGTTGACTGTATAACTTGTGCAATAGCAAAGAAAATTCGGTTGTCAATGTAATTATTTGTTTAATGTAGCATATGAACGTGTTCGAAAATTATTGCAACTTCAAATGGGTGGATATGATAATAAGAATAATAAATTACAGTTATTTGTGCAACAAACTCGTGACCGTATTACATGGCTAGATGCTACATGTCGTAAATACAAGTTCCAACCCCTTCTAGATAAACAGGATAATAAAGTACATATAACGGTCAAGGTTACCGCGTGAATCAAATTTAAACGATAAATCAAGAGAACACAGTAAAAACCAGATACTGAGAAAGTCAGCTTTAAGGATATAGTTCTACTCATTCTGGGCCATTTTTCGTTTAGTAAAAACCGAATAAGCAAAAGCTCGATGATTAGTTCGACATACTAACTGAAACCTTTGTTGATTCTGTTTTCATTCCAGACGACCAGCCATCATAAAACAGACAAAATGCAAAAGTTCATACAAAGATCGCAGATTCCTATGTTATAGTCCCATATCTGACATACAGTAAGGAGAAAAACAAAAAGAAAGCGAAGACAAATAAAGAAGGCTGTGGAAGGTGTTAGCTGGTTGAAAATGTTGGGGTAAAGACCCAGTGGTTTATCATGGTATTTTTAAGATAGTCTTAATAATGATATAGAAGTTTGTCAGAAATAATAACTAACTTGACCTTGGTCTTGCATTTTTTTACTATAATCAAGTCACTAATTCTACCCCTGCAAAAAGCCTTGGTTATTTCAATACATATCGATATTTTACGATTAAGGGGACATAAATTGCTCCAAAAGATATTGTCGCTTATTTGAGGCGTCCATTGATGTAATTATGATAACAAACTAGTGGATGATCGAGGAAACGTTCTTTCTCCCCCACATTGAGGAGAAGACGTCTATACACGGTTTCTTCATAGAATTTCTCCAAGTCAAATTCCCAAGCAAGTAGAAATACGATGCTTTGCAACATCTGTTTACAAATACGTTAGCGTTAAAAGGTAAACGGATTGACCTTCTGGATCTGAAAGCAAAAGAAGAAAAAAAATCAAAAGACATCACTATACAAAGCGTCTTTGTTACAATACAAACAGGTGCAATGACAGTTTTCTATTGATACATACCCGAGTTTGCATTTAGTGCGTGCGATTCCCTTTTCTCGTCGTCTACGACGAATCGTAAACGTTTTCTTATCTTAATGTCTCGATACAATCCACTTGAGCGATCTGATCTTGCCGAAGGTTTCACATGTGCTTCTAACATGAGAATTATAGTGTAATAAAAGAAAAAGAACAACCAATTAGCCAAAATCTGGTATGTGGTGAAAAGTGCACGAGCGCAATTCGTACCGGGGATTGATGGCGGCTGTTTATCGAATCTTACGGTCACCACCGAAATACTAGGAAAGTTCAATGCCCACGCCAGTTACATGCCAGTTACATGCCAGTTACATGCCAGTTACATGCTAGTTACATGCTAATTATATGCTAGTTGTATGCAGTTTGGGAATGCTACGGTTCAGAAAAAAGTCTCTGAAATACCTTTGTGGGATGTCTTCGTCTCGCTCGTTATTTTGCGACACCGCGATGGTAAGTACGGCTATTGAGTTTGCACGACATCCAACAGACGCTAAATTGCTATCTCTATGTCGAAACATACAGTATTTATCACAGTTAGTCTTTGTAGCAAAAACGTCAAAGAAAGCACTCATTTCTTCGTTGTCAGGGCAACGATTTTACTCAGCCCATCATACCTATTGCTACCAGTTCTCCCGATCCCATATACTGGGAACTTGCGTCTATCGGGGATATTGCCTTCTAGTCCCGACGAGTCCACGCACAAAGGATAAAGAGGGGGCACATCAAATTGTCGATCGATCTGATACCGGGCGCCCCCCCCCCCCTGCTAGTGCTAGACAAATTATGGAAGCTCATTATTTTAATGTCGATAATGGGGATCGTCTCGTATTGTGAAGAGTGCATTCTTTCAATATTTCACAATGAAACAACGCTGCCCCTCACACACGTTTGTTGTTGACGGTGGTTCTGTGTGCCTTGCAGACTCATTTCCCAAAAAGTAAAAATTAGAAAGCGTGCGTGCTGCACATGGGATGTTTTTTTTGCATTATTGTTGTCATGGGAACAAGCAGGGTCTGGTGTACTATCTCAATAAAGAATAAGTTAGTAATAGAATATAAGGTGACGTGCGATATAGTAATATGTCAACATGTAATGATGTTTCCAAATAGCAGATTACCAAGTTATATTTTCAGGGGTAAAGTGAAGGTTACTAAATATTGAATACTTTATAATATATGTGAATATATGATTCAGTTTGTGCTTTTAGAATACAAACACAGCGATCCGTATCGTTATAAAAACTTGACTCCCGATTCTATCAAGTCAATTATTTCTCCTCTCAACTTGTCCACGCAAATGTCAGATTACAACAGAGCGCTACCATTTGATGTTCCTGCTTCCGGCCTTACTTTTGCCTATGCTCTTGGCAATGAAGAAAAACCCAAGCAAACCAGAAAAAATTGGACTGCTGATGTGTGTTACTATTGTAATAATGTCGGGCGCTTTACATGTATGTTGTTTGTTAATCAGTAAACTTTCTTAACGTTAGGAGGATAAGTTGCTCCTTGACGGCTATGCCAAGTATGGCAATAAGTGGAATAGAATTGCGGCTGATATAGAAGGGAGAAGTGGTAAAGGATGCCACGACAGGTGAGATTGGCTCATTATAATAACTCAAACATGTTGCAAATTTGCAAAGCTGACTCTAATGTCTAATTGTTGCTTAGATGGAACAATCATTTGAAACCGGATGGTAATTACACACTATTATCCTTACCAGGTTTATAAAAAGCATCGCAGTTTATGTATCAAACAGGTAATAATCTAGTTTTAATATTTTACAGTCAATAAGGGTTCCTGGACATTGTCAGAACGCAAAAAACTAATAGAGCTGCAGGAAACGCACGGAAATAAGTGGAAAACAATCGCCGGGCAGATAGAGGGCAGGACTGCTATGCAGGCTAAAAATGAGTTCCGCCGGTATCTAGTATCAAAAAAGAAAATGGCCATAGACCGAATCTTGAACTAATAATCTTAATATAAAGATATATAGTTATCCATTATAATATTTTTATTTTTATACTTATTCATTTATTTATTGTCTTTTTTAACGTTACAAGTTTTGTCGTTGCATAATTTTTAGATAACCCGTAGAGTATTTTAATTGCTTTCAAGTGACGTTAAATTAACAGTAGCAATAAATTTTCTTTAATTTTTTAAAAAAAAGCGTTTTCTCCTGTTTAGAACCTTCTTTTTTATTTAATATAAACAATAAAGTATTTATCATAATCTCAAAAAAAA